TCCGTAGCTTCTACTAAAAAAGTAGGCCTAAGGGACTGATTTCCTTTTTGAAAGTTTAAGTTATACTTGTAATGAAGCAAAATTAAAGTGTATATTGTTAAATAATTGAGGAAAAAGATTCAACATCTCAAGTTTCAGCCTTTCAGGGAAAAGGGAAATTTTAAGAGGGCTTTTCACTTTTTAATTGTAGTGGGCATATATATTTTATACTGAATTTGTATGACTTAGCATAAACAATTTTTATGCATGTTTAGGTTCCTAAAAGTGTCGGCTAAATTGTTTATCATCATAAAAATACAAAATTCTTATCTTAAGCAACAGCTCTAAATCGCGTTTCAAGACGTAATCGGAACCTCTTAGAGAAAATTAAATATCTGAACTATAATAACTAGGCCTACGTGTTGGTAATATAATAGCAGGGAGTAAATTATTTGCAAGGTTGCAAATACTTCGTTTAATTTGGCTCAAGATCGAGTCAATCAAAAACATCCTCGCTATTGGGTAACGCTAATTTTCTGTCCTTGGGTCAAAGACTAAATAGAGCAATCCGATCTGGGAGAGGCGAAAGAAGATAATCGGTGGCTATTATAGGAAATATTACTACGGTACTGCAAATTGTGCTGTAATTGCTGCCTGAACGGCTCAGGACCGATCTCATATGAAAGTGGCGTGATTACTAATGTTATGATTGCTGGGACGGTCTACTTGTACTGAATCGAAGCAGTTAAAAATGAAACGTGAAAGTAGGAAGCGATAAAGATTTACGATTGTTATTAGAATTAAATTTAAAGAAAGTTAAATATTAAATGTTGACAAGTAAATACACTTTCTAGATTTAAGAGACCCAATTATAGCCTAGCGATAGTTTTGGGGTGCAGGGCCGAGTGCCAGTTGCCTAAAAACTTTGACCAGGGTCATTTTACAGCCTGGGGCTTGGCGGTGCGAGTGCCAGCCAGGTATCAGTGACCGGTTCCACGGTGCAGCTGACATGGAGGTGGAAAGTGTTTTAATTGCCATATTGTCATTGTGTTTTAATCTATCGGACATTTCGCAACGTTTGAACCAAAATTATATTTCTAGTCGATGGATTTATAACTACCCCAATCTCCAAGCCTTTATCATTCAAAAGTTATTTTAGCAGCTTTGGAGAATATACCAAGCAAAAACAGGTGTATTAGCTTGTAAAGTAATACATTTGCAAATAGAATCTTATACAATAGTATACGTATACGTACCACGTTACTAGTCCTAAAAATAGCCACTTAATAAAACAATAGGCACTCCCTCTCCTTCAATATAAAATCTGTACAAATTCTCATATTCCCACCGACTGAATGACTAACCATCGTTACTCTTAACCTCTAGGTTATATTTGTGTTTATAACCACTCATTGCCAAATTTAATCAGCTGGTTGGTGTCCGGTAAAAACTCATTTCTGTATAGTTGTAGTACCTTTGACTATTAATACATAGTCAATGGTAGTACGTAATAAAACCCATTCTGATTAAACTGGCAGCAAACAGTTTTTTTTTCTGGACTAAATCCTTGCGTGGGAAGTTAGTGTACTCGATAGAAAGATTTGAATACAGTTAGTTCTTCTTTGTTCTTCCCAACCAACAGATTTCCTTATTTCGACCCACTGTGTAATCAATGTTCTGCTCTTTGTTCTTCCAGATGACACGCGCTTTTGCGATTTCTAATTATATCACAAATGAGATTCTGGGGCGTGTCGTCCTGGGCAGACAAAAAGTTAGTTTTTCAACAGCGTGGAGGATGCGCTGTTGTGACAACGCGCGCGTGACGTCAGGTACGACCCGGTCACGTGCTGCGTTCACGGACCTCCAAACACAAAACCAATCACCGCCATTCACATTACCATTCTGTGGTCGATGACTATTCATCGTCCGCCGTTTGGCACGAAGGGCTTGTGTCCGTTGAATAATGTTTGTTTTCAGCCATTGTTCTTTCCGATCAACCCATCAAGGTTCTGAATTTGTCCTCATTCAATTCGTTTTATGATTCAAACTGATCTTTTGACAATGCCAAATTCTTGTGTTGGTTTTGTAAAATGAATAAGAATCAAGGTTTCACCAAAAAGTGTATTTTTTACTAAATATATTTATACTCACGAGAAGTATACATAACTTTCCAAGGTCAACGTTGTAGGTCGTTAGCAAATACTCACTTTCGCTTTTATTAATAAGCTAAACACTTAAAGTAATAACTTTCAACTGAAATTACAAATTGTAGCATAGTTAATAATCCCATGCAGTATCTTATAATGGACATTTAAGAGGGAGAAAACAATTTCAACGGTAGCTCACTGTCACTCTGAGTGGCTGAATCATAAAGGTTCTCTTTGAGAAAAACTAGTCTAGTTACATATGGTCCATAATAAAGATGAAACGTCTACTTAAGTAAACAAAGACTATTGCAGTAATGATGTCTTTGTCATTAAAGCAAGATACCAACAGATCCAGTTTAGATGTTCCTTTCCCTGGATCATCCTTGTCGAACACAAGCTAGTCTGTCTTCCTGGCCATTCCACGGACTGTTGGGTAATACAAGACGTTTCTCTTGTTCCTTTCCCCCAGGCCTTGTCTCAGAAGTGAGAGTTTAATGAGGTTGGTGGGCGTTGTAGGTCGCTCCAAGGAGGTATTATTTTAATATCAAATGACAGACGTTTAGCCTTTACACGCCAAGAAAGTGTGAGGAAATTAGAATTGTCTATTACAATTCTACCCTTTTTGACTAATTCTGACAACCCAGTAATTAGGCTTTTTCACAATTTGTTTGCATCCTGCACGATCTTTTCTGTTGAAGCATAGCAAAACAAGACAGGTGGAATAATGGAGAATTTGTTTGACGTCACAAGCGATCATTAAATACTTATTATAAGGAAAGATAGCCACCATTTCGGTACTTACGTACTACTATACCGACCACACCTAACCAACTTAACATATAACCTAACCTTGTAAGGGTGGTTAGGTTAGGAAGACTTTGTTATTTAAAAGAAAATTCAAAACTTATTTGGAAGTCGATTTATCGGTGTAGTCGGTATACGTGTACCCAAATGTCTTTCAATACTATCACTCTGGTTTTGAACCACAATATTCCGGATGCATATTCAAAACAGTAAATCCGATCCAAATCAATCATTCCAATTGACTAACCCATTAACATGACTATAAAATCAATTCCGAAAGCTCAACTGCTCGTGGATCGAACGATAACTCGCCTTTCTAATTTAAATCCCGACACGAAGTATTCAATTTATTTTAATGAACAATTGTTTAATGGAATTAGCATGATTCTGTATGTGCATGATTTGAATAGTGGTTGGAGTGTTCCGGTCCCACACGCTCCACGTTCGCCATACAATGACCTCGGGCTTTTCTCATGGACTTGTCTGCATCTACTCGCTCAGTCGCTCCTCCCCTCGCATTCTTGTCCACTCATTCTTCCTAAAGTCATTGGCAATACAGCTAACGCTCCGTTACACGAAAAGTTGCATGAAAGATTCTTGCTGTTTTCTTTTTGAAGAGTTTTGCCAATTGGTAATATCAGATATTGTAATTGAAACTGCAATAACAATGGGAGTTGAAATTCAAATTGCAATGGGTTGCCAAAAGGTTTTAGTACTCTCCTTCAAATCTGGAGATTGCTGGTTCAATTCGATGCGGATTCGATTTTGGAACCAGATGCCATTTATCATCAGGCAATCTGTGAACGGTGCTATCTTACAAAATAATAATAATATACCCGATAAACACACCTCTAGAGATAACTTAAGCATTGGCGCAGACGCACGCAGGAATCTTGTTCAATTAGATGCAAACCAGTGTCTTATTTGTTCTGGGGGAGGGAAAGGTCGTCCTACAATAACAAAGTTAATATAACGTTTAAAACATGATTTTTTGATGTCTAAAAGCAGTAATTATGTTTAAAACCTACTTATTTGTCGCTAAAATCAGTTTGAAACATTAGAGAGCATATTGAGTCTTAAATTTAGGTTCTCTCAGGGGGGTATGCATGGCTCCCTACTACCCCACTTCCCGCACTTGACTTTAAATTTTCAAAGTCAATGGTAAAACCATCAGGGAGTTACTAGTAGGTGACAAAGACTTGGCGACAAAACTTATTTTATTCGATAAAACACCAGTTGTTAAGTGCGTCTGCATGAGTATTGCTAATCTCTCACCTTATCTCACTTGAGCAGATTAATCTGAGTAACGGTGGACCTCCAAATGTCAAGGGCATTACCAGGTTCAGAGGCAGATTTTCTTATTGCCGACCTTTCTGACGCCGTTCACATTGCTTGGGAGCTCGCACGAGATACAAGATGGCGGTGCATTAAGTGCGATCACGTAGAGTGTTGGAAGATGGTTCAGTCGTAAACGAGGGGTGGAGGTGTGAGAACGAGGAGAGAAAGTAATGGTATCGTAAAATGTAGTTTAAATGGTACTACTTAATATTCACCTTAACGACCTGATAGTAACGGCAATAAGTATGGCATAAGCAATGTCAATAGATAGAATTAAATAGTCTCGGTGTATAATACACACTGTGCTTCCGCGGGTAGGCTTACATTATTGAATCTGCGTTCTCCGGTTCGTTGTGAACACTTGCCAAAGACAAACTTTGTACTGATTTTATGATGATATTAAGATAAGTGTGTCGAAATGCGTTATAAAAATGGGGCAAAGGGTTACAAAGTAGATTAATGTATTAAAGGATTGTGTATTTATTAGATCGATTGTTTGATACAAACTATTTACAAAAAATGTCCCCATCTTGTAACATGTTTATTAATCTTTGTAGCAAAATGCATGTAATCACATGAAAAAATATTAATCCAATCTAAATTTTACATGATTATAAAAAAGTATTTATAGCTTTTAATGTGGGACCTTAATTTCGATAGTTAGGCCTAGTTTCGTTAGTAAGTTTAGAAGAGGAATAAACCGTCACCGAGCATAAACATCCAAATTGAGTTTATAATTAACAAATATGATGGAAAATAGTCAAAAGTAAAACTACCATAGTGATATTGATGGCGTTGAAGATGTTTTACAACCCTTTCGGATTTCAATTTACAAACTACACTATTTCGCCCCAGGAACTTTACTGAGCACTTTAGAGAGGTCGACACCAGTAAGTGCCTGTACGGCGGGTGGGACTTGGCTGACCAGTCGGTTGATATCTCCGGATATTTGATCGTTGCCTCCCAACAGGACGATCTCCTCAGTCTTGGCCAGGGGCGCGGTCACTTCTGCTGCTATCTTCGGCAGCACCTCCAACACCATGGAGGCGATGGCTGCTTCACCGTACTGTGTGTATACCTGGGCCTTCATCCTCATCCTACCTGCCACTGCTTTCCCAACACTCTCCAAAGCCTCAGCCTCCGCCTTCCCTATCAGCTTGATCTTCTCCCCTTCTGCCTTAGCCTCTTCTACACCTTGTGTCTTCTTGCCCTGGGCGATGGCCTGGACCTTGTAGCTCTCCGCCTCCACGGGAAGTCTCACCGTAGCCTTCAATTCTCTCTCCTTTCTCTGCACCTCTTGTTGTTCAATTTCTATCTGCTTCTTCCTTTCTACAATTTCAATTTGAATCTCTTCATTTCTGATCTGCTGGCATACCTTGGCAGCTTGCAGTTCATAGGCTAGTTGTGCTTGAGCTTTGGCAGTGTTGATTTCTATATCGAAATTCGCTTTTTGCAGTTTGTAAAGCCTCGCGTTGTTTTCTATCTTGGAGTCGGTGAGGTACTTCACGTCCATCGCTGCCTTTTCACACTCCGCCTCTCTAATGCCAGCGTCCCTGTTGGCTTGGGCGACTCCTGCGGCGGCGTCACGCTTCACCTCGGCGATCCGAGCCTTCCCGAGTGACGTCAGATAGCCTTCCTCATCGGTTATGTCCTTGATAGTGAAGGACAATATCTCGATCCCCATTCCGCCTACGTCTGGCGATGCTACTTCTCGCACCAGCGCGGCGAACTGTTCCCGGTCTTTGTACACCTCCTCCACCGTCAGAGTACCGAGGATCGCCCTCAGATGCCCCTCGAGGGTATGCAGCACAGTGGACTTGATCTCTCTCATACTCTTGCCCAGGAATTGCTCTGAGGCGACTTTGAGCAGTTCCTCGTCCTTCATGATCTTGCACTGGGCCACTCCGGTCACAGTCAACGCCACTCCCAGTGATGTTTCGACCATTTCGCTGACAGGGGTCAACGTCATGACCTCTAGAGGGAGATACTGAACATCAGTCACCAACCACCATGCCCACGCCCATCCTCCCACGATAAACGACTTCTTGGTAGACCCGCAGCAGCCGCCTGACACTATCAGAGCCCTGTTTGGCCCAACCGTGTAAATATTTCCCATTGCCCAGTGGAGTGATTTTCTAAGGTCGATTTTAAACTTCTTGTGTATCTCACCTGAGTAACAAACACTACGTGTTTTTTAAGAAAATGTATACCTTCCAAAAAATTACGTATAGTTATCAACATAAAATGTTTTCAGTTTACAACGCCTAAACTTATAAACAATACCATCTGTTTAAACGTTTAAAAAGAATCGATAGCGGGTTTGTAAAGTTGTCGAATATCCTTATAATATAATTCGTGAAGGCGATTTCTACGAAACACTACTCCTCCGTTAATAATGGACGGATTTTTACAAACGATGTGACAAAATTAAGTATTTTTTGTGTGGACGCGCCCTTTCACCAATTCCTGTAATAAAAGTCCTCGGGCTTTGCCCCACATGCCATCAAAATCCCAATGTATTTCTTATGATGAAAAGATTTTGTTTACTTAAACAGACGAATGACTTATCTATCCTAAATTTACGTGATTATTTTTAAGTTTTGTTGCCATTTTTTAATGAATCAATTAGTAACTAGATCGGGGTTTATTTAAAACAATGAAAGTCGAATATGGTTTTTGTTATAGGAATAACCAAAGTTTATAAAATGGTTTGTGCATATTGTTCTAGAAACATGTAACTTTTCGTCCAAAGTTATTAATGCAGTCCAGATCGTATGGGTCACCGTATGAATAATAATATCCTATGAATAGTATGCCTACTCTCAAACATGTCAACAATTGGCTGTTTATCCAGTATGTGATAGCAACGACGCCCGGTTGGTCTGTATGTTTTGTACATTATTATTCAGAGCCTGGTCCACGAAACCTGTAATTTCGTACATTCACTCATCCTACTCTTGTTAATTTCTGGACGAAATAACTTCTTACGGCACCTGGTTAAGTATTTTAAAACAATCACATTTCTTACATTGAGCTTATCGTTGTGTAAAAAAGGTTCTTGGGGATGGACGTATGCGTTCACTTCTATTGTGTTCGGTTTTGTTGTAGAATGTAAATGAGCAAAGATCCGGGAGAGTCGTGGTTTATGTGGAGTGGTTTGTTGCGTTGTTCTGCAGACCAATATAACCCACGCTGCAGGAGCAGGACTCTGGTGAACTACCTACTAGCTCAGTACGAGCCTCATGGACAAAGGCTGAAGGATATGTATGTAAATGCCATTGTATTCTCATTACACAAGACTTTATGGGCTATATGACTTGAAATACGTAGCATTCTTTTCTTAATTGGTTGTTTGAAGTACGGATTGACCATAACAAGTAGGCCTATTGATTGGTCATAGAGACATAGTATAAGGATCCATAGTGGTTATTAACTCATAAACTCATCGTGGCCGCGATAGCAAACTCGAAAAGACATAATGTACTAGTTTAAAAATATTTGTAACATGTTCAGTTGTAACAGATTGCCTCAGAGCAGATATGGTGTGTCCATCGTATCTCTTCTAATGTATTCCTTCGAACACAAGTAGCCTACAAGCTGGTATACTAAATTTAAAATGCAAACTCATCCCAAAAAAGGAAGTAAATCACTGTTGAGACGGCTAAAACCCTGAGAGCCACCATGCTTTTGGCAACAAATCTGGGTAGCCAAACAGTGTTTATCATCACATCTGAAGACTACTCGATATCGAGCAAAGTCGATGCTAAACCCGGATACCATTTAATGTGTTATCATTAATTAATTAATGATGACAAGACCATCGTTTGGACAGATGCCCACTGCAGAAACACACACTAAAACAATATATTTCTATATATTTAATTACGTAAGCGAAGCGGTCCCCACGAAATGTCTCGAGCTAGGAAAAAGGTAGCATGGCTGTTGAGGATTCATTTTGACGGTGGGAAAATTATCAGAAGTGTCAAAATTACCTGCTTTGTGTCAAAATTACCTGCTCAGCCCCACAGGCAGTCAAAGATGCAGACTTTAAATGGAAGTTCTGCTGGTTTTTAATAAGCTGGTTTAAATATACCAGCTGATTGCGTATTGTTAACATTGCGTATTTGTTTGTTTATTGGTTTTAGTGTCTGATTTTAGGTTAGAATGGTAATGCAGCGTTGAAAATGTATCGTGTTAGGGAAAGGCCGTGACTACTAAGGAAAGGAGAGTATTTAGGGATGGTTAAACGGAGGTGAAGGGCAGCAATTGCTGTGTTGAGCCCCTAAAGATATTAATTCTTGCTCTCAAACAGTTATGTAAAAATCTCCTTAAATTGAAATGTCCATTTGTTGTGGCATAAGATCGATGCACCGACATCGGTTTCCCTCGACGTCGACGGAGTTATGCCACCGATAACAAGAAAGCCATCAACTTAAATTAGATACTCCATTACGAGCCAAGCGTATAAACGAGCTACAACCACAACTGGCACAAACATAATCCATTACAACGAGCGGTGACATTTCAAAGATCTGGGACCGCCTCGCTCGTTGTCCACTCAATTAAACACAATAATAACATAATAAAGTGGAAGGGATGACCCTGGTCCACGGACGATGGACAGCCAGGTGACAGACTACGGCCAGTCAAGCAGAACGGAGAGAAGAACAAGAAATGCAAATCGCAAGACCGGTTCCAGAGAGTATAGTGGTCGGTGCATCGCTAGCTGTAGATTTACATAACTTCCGTCTGGCGGACCTTGCCTCTGGGCTGAGATAGCGATAGCTTCTTGTTTGATAGAGATGTAAAAGGTCCTCGGGTAAGGACATTCAGCACCAACGCCTGTTCAGTTGATTCAATTTATTACCCGAAAATATGTGGTCGATATAAAACCGGACCGCATACGATTCCGGCTTCTAGATTATCCCACCGATGTAAAATATGGACCCTAAAAGTCCTTTCGGTTCATCCTGAACATGTTTATGGCCAGCTTGGGTTCAGCTGATACCAAATCCTCTTAAGAGTTCATCGCGGGTCAGTGATGGCTGAATCAGTCCAACAGTTTCTATGAAGATGTCCTCAAATCCAACCAATGTTGTCAATGGTTGGCCACCGAGCATTATACTCGTAAATATATACTCTTGTACTTTTTATAAAAGATTTCTATGTGCAAGACAACACATCAGAGCATTTTGGACTGCAAGATGAGTGTTGAATGAACAAGATAACAGCTTTGTTTTTGACTGATAACATCTTAAAAGCCCAATATGTTGAGCCATTTTAAACAGATTTCTGATTACTAAGCGAGCACTGTATCCACTTAGCTAACCCAGCTCTACAAATGTTCACGTTTAGACCTTTCTAATAAATATTGAAATATAATTCCCCATATGTGTTTGTGTACTACCGCTTTATCTATCTATATATTAATAGGCAAGCATGTTTCTTTAAAACCTTTTTTCTCAGCTCGTGTGCATCGTAGGGAAAATCTACGCATACCGTTGGAAAGCTATTTTCCTGTAGGTGTGCAGAATCCCTTTACAAATTTAAATAGGCTCAAAGATAAGCACAAAAAATAAGTTTAAAAGTTGTAAAAAATTAACATGGATCTTATGCGTTGCTATGCTGGTTACGAAATAACAACGAAATATAAACAGAAAATCAAAACAAATGGAGGAAACTCCAATCACATGTTTTATTTACAGTGTGGGGTGAAAATAGTTAAGTGAGTACATTACATATTTTTGGTCGAGTTTCGACCACTGGACGACCTCTCGTTTCACAATAATTATGCAATTATGCATCGTGCGAAAACTTATTGGCGTGCAATAGTAGAAAAATCATTTGGTTATTAAGTTGTTTTCGCTAACTCCAATACTAATGTTTTTTCCAGTAAAAGATGTTTACTGCAATAAAATAACGATTGCAAAAACTAATCTCTCGTTAACTTCCTATTAGAAACCATTTGATAATATTGTCTTATGTAAACTGCTAATGAAAAGCCTATTTGTAGGACTATCAAACCTAATCACCCCTATTAATTTCTTCAATTATTGCCTTCACTGATACAGTCAATGATTATTTCCCGTCCAAATGAGAATAAAATCACCTCTATTACCGCTCATTACATGAAATTGAATATGTTACAGATTTAAAAGATGTTATGTCTCTTCTACACTACGGCAAATGTTTGTAAATGGGTTGAGAGCTAAATTACACTCATTATGAGTATGTAAGATGCTATTATCCCAATCAGGAAGCAGGTACCTACGCTACTGCTACTACTTCTGTGTTGCATTATGGGAATGCGGCAACGATACGCCCCGGCGATACTGGCCTCGGTACTACGCACACAAGTGTGAACTCACCTCACGATATAATTCGTTGCATGAAATTAAATTGTCAATAATATAAAATACATCGCACAGAACAAAGATGCAGTCTGTAAGTGAACTTGTTGAGTAGACTGTACATTTTGATAAAATACAACGCAAAATATCCAAACCATACCTAATCCCGTAGTATTCAAAGTCATTGATTACCTACACATCCTATCTGGCCTATCTCTTACAAAAATACAGTAGTATTTAGAGAAGTTATGGTTAATGTGTAGTAGGCCCTAAATATTTAATCGTGTTTTCTGATGATTCGTCAAGATATGCCATTAAAAAAAGTATGGATTCGAAAATATACAAAAAACTGTTAAGTGCTCGTAAATAATATTATCAATGATAATATTGTCCAATCTACAAATTAAATAGTTGCGTACAAGCTAACACCACAACTGTACTGTCATAAATGAGAAAATGAGTGTGAAAGACTAATTATTTCTATGCTTTATAGTAATTGAAGGAAAAATATGTGTAACACGAGAGCAAAGTGCGACTTAGCACACTAGCACAAATAAATATTACTCATAAAGTTATATACCAATCTGACGCACTCAGACGGTATAATCTGTTGAACCGTTCCTCAGTCGGCAGCTCCCAAACACCCTATCCAGAGTGCAATGGACCAATGGTACGTAGCCTCAGAAGGTCCATTCCAAGACACGGTCGGATGAGCGAACATCTTCGCCTCAGCTTGACCATTGTCCGGGGAAATAGCTCGGTAATAGCTGCCTGAGCGCCGCAGACCAGAGCATACGACACAGGTAATTGCAGATTTCTGCAGACGACGCG